ACAGGCTCTTCCCCTGGCTCTCCCACCCGCCACTGCCCGCATCTGTCAGCTCCTGGATCTGCGCCCCATCGAGGGAGACCATGCCGTTAAGAAACGCCGGCAACTGGGCCTCGGCGGTGCTGTGGTCCTGCGTGCGGCCGACCCGCAGCCGGTTCATGTAGGCGTGGCCGCCGGTCTGCAGCCGCTCGCGATTGCGCGCGATGAAGGTCTTGGCGTCGATCCGCCTGTGCGGCGCCTCGCGCTCGAACAGCTGCACGAACTCGTCGGTGTCGACCAGAAACACGAAATCGAAGTCGGCCTGCCACCGCACGAACCCGTCCCACACGAGCAGCTCCTGCAGGTAGCAGTACGTCACCCGGTCGTCGCGGCCCGGCGCGTCGACCCCCACCAGCGTGACCCGCTCCAGCACGCCCGGGTGCCGCGCCAGCCTCTGCCGCATGGACTCGAGGCTCAGCTGGCGCGTGGCCAGGTGGAGCACGACGTGGTCGACGCCCACCACGTCGAGCGTCCACAGCAGCCAGAGCTCGTCGTCGTCGGTCCACGTGAACTTCTTGGTGATCCACGCGCCCACGCGCACGCGCGCGTCGGCCCCGCTGGCGCGCACGATCGACGCCACGCCGCTGCTGCTGTTGGCCCACGGCGCCGTCGCCAGCCGATGGTGGCAGTCGCGTGCGCCGGTCTCCGTGGGCGCGATGGGCAGCAGACTGGTGGCGCGCGGGAAGTGGAGCACGTGGTCGAGCGGGAAGAAGGCCACCTCGCGCGCGGCGAACACGGCGAACCGCACCTCGCGCCGTCGTCGCAGCAGTTCGTCTGCGGCGTCGTCGGACAGGAGGAACGCGCAGCGCACGATGAGCTCCAGGTACTGCGGCCGGGCGACCTTGTATCGGTAGGCCGCGTTCAACGGCTCGTCGAGGGTGATGGCCTGCGCCGTCAGCTTCTTGACCGGGCCACCGGCCCCATCATCCTCACCACCACCATCACCAGCTTGGCTGGGCCACCAGAGCTCGACCGTCTGGAAGGTGTACGCCGTCGGTGTCTCGATGTCGCCCTCAATGTCGAAGAAGGTGCTGTTGAGCGCCAGATGAATCTGAAATATGTGCAGCAGGTGGTTCCCGTCTGTCGGCGGCGTGGTGGTGGCGAGGTGGTGGAAGGTGCGGGAGCGGAGGTGGGCGGGCAGGGAGGGGGTGGTGGGCAGGGGGCGGTGGTCCTGGCTCACCGAGATGACCTGCACGCGCCGCCCCGACGGCTGCGAGACGAAGGTGCCCCAGGGTACTCGGAACGGATCAAGCTCGGCCGGCTCCAGGTCGGCCTTATCGGGCTTCGGAGTTATAGGGTCGTAATGACGACGATGGTGGGGGCCTGGTGGGTGGTGATGATGGCGGCGGTGGTGGTCGGTCTCACATTCGCAGGCGGAGAAGGGTGCGAAGTGGAGGGAGTAGGCCAGCAGGAGAAGCACGACAGCGAACAACAGGAACCACAGCACAAGGCGGCGTGGCCTTGCCATCATCACCGATAACACAAGGTTGATAGCTGTGATGGCTGGTGGTGATAACAGACCAGTATGCCGGCGAAAGAACAAGCCCGCACAGAGTTTGCGGGGGATATTTCACAGCCAACTTCTAGCGGAACGACGCTTTTTTTTTTTGCACCCACCTGCCGTCGTGTGGGCCTTGGTCTATTAACATGTTAATACCAAGGCCGAGCGGAGAGGGGACCTCAGCCAATGAACACACGCGCGCTCATTACTCACCAGAACTGGGCGGTGGTGCTGGTTGGCGCGTCGTCGGTTGCGGGTGTGTCAGTGGCGAGACTGCCACCGATTACTCGTGGTCATTGGCCCTTTCTTCTGGGACCCCACCGGCGCCATCTTCTGTAACCGTTTTCCCTTAGTGCCCTCGGTTGATGATGCCATAGCCGCGAGCGGCCGCTTGAGCGTGAGCGTATCGGGTGGCGACACCTCCGGCGTCACCCGATTGGCAGCGGCCGGTCGTTGGAATCATTTTCATCGGCTGGTGCCGGCGCAGTTGGCCGAGTCTCTCCGGTGGCGCCGGCGCGCGTCATGTCTGCGGGCGGTGGTGGTTCGCGCTCGTCGTGAGCGGTCTGGGCGAAGATGCGGCCGGCCATGGCGTAACGTTCTGGAACGCCAGCCCTGGCAGCAGTGCTGGGTCGAGGCGGTCGCTTGTCACCGGGAACTGTTGCAGGTGCACCAAAAAGCACTGATGGCACTACCGCTGCTGCAAACTCAGAGCTGTCGTGTGCCACGTGAGATCGCGTGTGTTGCGTGCGCACACAGTGCTCACCCCAAAGCTTTCGTGTGTGCGTGTGCGTGTGCGTGCGTGTGTGCGTGTGCGTGTGTGCGTGTGGTACCAGCCCAACAGGCGCGACACTGGATCTTGGTGCCTGCTGCGCTGGTGCTTCTTCTCGAGCACGTGGTGGAAGTTGAGTGGACAGTGCACCAGCTCCATGGTTTCCTTTGGTGGGCCAAACAGATGGTCGCAAATTGTGCAATAATCAACAAATGTTTATTTAAAAAATAAAAAAGATCTCACAAGCAACACTGTAAAGCGCACCCACCTGTTTTTTCTTTTTGCCTGCTTCTTCTCTTGTGGCTTCTCCATTCTCCGGTTCTTGAAACAAAAAAGAAGTGTTTCAATATTTCAAGACAAAATAATTCAAAACAACAAGAATAATAATAAAAATAATTCATCAAGACAAGAACAGGAAGCAGCACAAAGATTACATGTGGCTGCTGGTGCTGTGCGTAGTGGTAGTGGCGGCGGTGGCGGTGATGCGTGCAGGTCGACTCCTTGTGTTCGATCACCCCACCGACCCGGACGCGCAGGGACGCTACAAGCGCCCTCCTGGCCTCAACGTTATCATCACTGGCACGAGACCCCACCACCACTACATGACAACACGCGCCAATAAACAATAAACAAATAAATAAAGAGATTAAAGAGATAAATAATAAATAAATCTGTGCAGGCAGCACGAGAGGCATCGGTCTGGCGCTGGCCAAGGAGTTCCTGGCCCTGGGCGACAACGTACACCGCCGCCTCCGCCTCGATGATGATGCCTGCTGGAGTGCTCACCCCACAGCTTTCGTGGTGCGTGTGCGTGTGCGTGTGCGTGTGCGTGTGCGTGTGCGTGTGCGTACGTGTGTGTGTGCGTGTGCGTGTGCGTCTGTGTGTAAACACCAGGTGGCGATCTCCAGCAGACGGTACGACACATATCCCCTCGCGTTACTGCACTGCTTCGCCTGCACGGGTTCATGATGATGATGATGCCGCTGATGCTGATGATCGGTTTTGCACCCCATCAGTGCCGCGCTCGTGGACGAGGTGGTGGCCGACTTGACTGGGCAATTCCCCAAGGCCAAGGTGGTCGGCTGCGCTGCTGACGTCACCAGCGGTGCGTGCGCGCAAGTCCTCCTCCCGTTGTGATCGGGGGCCTGACCGACCCTCTTGTGGCCACAGAGGATTCCCTGTGCGCGCTGGCCGCCTACGGGAAGCAGCACCTGGGCGGGATCGACATTTGGATCAACAACGCGTACGATACCCGACACACACACACACACACACCACACACACCGCGGCTAATCGTGTGGAGAAACCGCCTCGACTCGACGGAATGTGTGATCGTCAATCAGTGGCGTCACCCAGACGGACAAGACGCCGGTCCACAAGACACCCGAGAGCGTGCTGCGCGCTGGTGCGCTCCTCGTCTCTCCGCGTTAATTGGGTGTTGATGAAGTGCGAGAAAACGCATGCGTGTGGCTGCGCTCAACGTGGTGGTGGTGGCTGGTGGTGGCGGTCGTGGTGGTGGTGGTGGCTGGTGGTACCGGTTAGTGGTGGACACCAACTTGGTGGGCACGCTGCTCGGGTGCAAGGTGGCGATCAACGCCATGCTCGAGGAGCCGCAGCGGAAGGGCCACGTGTTCAACATGGACGGCGCAGGAGCCAACGGCATGGTACCGTGACGGGTCGATATCACACCACCACCACGACCACCACGACCACCACGACCACCACCACGACCACCACGACCACCACGACCACGACCACCACCACCACGACCACGACCGCCACCACCAGCCACCACCACCAGCCACCACGTTTGCGACACTACTCACTACATACTGCACGCACACGCACAACGGCAAACAGTCGACGCCCAACTTTGCGGTGTACGGGGCGACCAAGGCGGCGCTTCCGCAGCTCATGAAGTCGCTGGTCAAGGAGACGGCGGGCACCAACGTACCCCAGCCTAGGCCTCTTGTTTTTCTTTTGTTTTCTTGTTTTCTTTTGCTCGCGCCTGCGCGTACTTGAAGAACACACGAGTAGTGTTAACCCCCGGGGGGCTGTGTCGCGGCAGGTGGGCATCCACACGCTCTCGCCGGGCATGGTCCTCACCGACCTCCTCATGTCCGGCAACAGGTTCGCCCTCTGATCGCCCCCGCGCCGCGCCGGGACCGTGTTCTCTCTGATCGTTGCCCGTCGCGGTGTGCCGTTGTGTGTCGATGTGATTCTTTGCTTGGCTGGCAGGGAGCCGCGCGTGTTGAAGGTGTTCAACATCCTGGCCGAGCGACCTCGCACCGTCGCCCAGTGGCTCGTGCCCCGCATCCGGTATTCCCACCCCCACCCCCCAACCCGCTTACTCGCATACCTGACATTCCGGCGTGCGCGCGGTGCCTACCACAGGGCGGCGAGCGGCAGCGGGCGGTACATCAAGTTCCTGACTGCTGTGGGGGCGGCCTGGCGCTTCGCCACCTTCTTCCGCCGGAAGAACCGCTTCTTCGACGCCCAGGGCGTCCTCAAGCACGAGTAGTGAGGCGTGTGGTGAGTGTCTCCGCGCGCGGGGTCGTTGGCCAGTCGCGGTTGCTACCTACACACGCACACACCACACACACCACGCACACCACACCACACACACACCACACACACCACACGCACACACACATATGACATATATGTGAGGTCACACGTCGCTGCTGCAGCTTATCTTTATTGGGCACTCGAAAGGCCAAAAGGGTCTTTTCTTTTCTTCCTTTTCAAGGCCTCCCTTGCGCCAGTGACCCCCGCCGGCGGGACCAACGGGAGAGCGCCAAATGTCGGCGCGAGCCAGCCAGTTGGGACGTTTCTTGCCAAAAAAAACACTCCAAAACCTTGCCTGAAGAGGAAAGAAACACGTTCCTGCCTGGCCGACGAGTGACGAATGGAGCTGGCGCTGAGTGCAACGGCGCTGGTCCTGCTGGCTGCGGCCATCCTGGCATGGGGCGTGGGCCGCTGGTACCTCGGGCGCAAGGCACATGCCCCTCCCCCCTCCATTCACTGTGGTCTTTGTGGCCACGTCGCCGCTTCACCCCCCCCCCCAAACTTCCCCAAAGGTGGGCATGTAGCGAGGGACAACACTTATGTTTAACAATTGTTATATATTATATATATATATAGAGTCACAATCTTAACGTAATTATTTGTGTGTGCGTGTAGAGAATGGGGCTGCCGGGTCCGTGGGGCGTGCCGTTCTTCTACAACTTTTTCGACATCCTCCAGCACAAGGCCCGCATCTACGACTGGTTTACAGAGAACACTCTCAAGGTGCCACCTTCCCCTTCTCCTCGGCTCACCGCACACGCACACGCAGCAGCTCACCCATAACGCATGGCACACGCCGTGACACGACACGACACCACGCAACATGACACGACCAACGACGAACAGTACGGGGACGTGTGGATGGTGACTGCGCCGGCCAAGCCGTGGATCGTGGTGGTGAGCGACACGAAGAGCATCGACCATGTCCTGCGTACCAACTTCGACAACTACATCAAGGGTTCGCTCCGCACACGCACACACACACACGCACGCACACGCACGCACGCACGCACACCACGCATTGCGCCATCAAGCAATTGGATTGCGGGGCGTCTGTTGACGTGCACCTTCTTCACACAGGACCCAACATGATCAAGATCCTCCACGACTTCCTCGGCGACGGGTTCGCAATTCGTGTGTGTGTGTGTGTGTGTGGTGTGTGCGTGCGTGCGTGCGCGCGCGTGGTTGTGGTGCTGATCTGCGATTGCAGGATCTTCAACACCAACGGGCGCAATTGGAAGCAGCAGCGGCAAACGGCCAGCCACCTCTTCAAGGTCAAGGAGCTCCGGCACATGGCCGAGATCTTCCTGTCCCACGGCCGCCAGGTGCGCCTCCCCCCCTCCTCTCATCGGCTCGGAATGTGGAATGTACCAATAGAAGAGCCCAATCAACAATATTATCGGTATTTGAACAATGCAGGTGGTGGAAATCCTGGAGGGCAAGCAGGGCCAGGAGGTGGACATGCAGGAACTCTTCGCCCGCTTCACCCTCGACTCGATCGGAGGTAATTCACACCATGGTACACGACACACGAATCAACGACATACCGACGACGAGGCGTTGGTGCCCTTTCTTGCTTCCCGTGGTACAGAGATCGCGTTCGGGAAGAAGATCGGATCGCTGGAGAAGCCCGTGGCGTTCTCGCTCGCGTTCAACCAGGCCCAGCTTCTCACCGACTCCCGCTTCCAAAAGTTCTGGTGGAAGGCACACAGATTCCCTCCCCCTCCTCCGTCGGCTGGCTCAGCACTGACTTTGTGCGTGTGCGGTGGTGCGTGTGTGCGGTGCAGTGGATGCCGTGGATTGATACGGAGAGGGAGATGCGCGAAGCGTTGAAGGTGTTGGACGAATTCGCCTACGGCATCATCAAGGAGCGGCGCCAGGACTCCAACATCGCCACCAAGACCGGTAACTCGCACCCCTCGCCCACCACCACCACCACCACCACCACCACCACCACCACCACCACCACCACCACCACACAACACACACAACACACTTGGCCGCAGGACACCACTTTACCTGACCACGAACCGCGTCCGGCAATGCAGACCTGCTGTCGCGGTACATCGGAATGACGGACGACGACGGGGAGCCCTTCACGGACAAGTACCTGCGCGACATCGTACTCAACTTCATGTACGCTCCCCCACCAATCCATCTGCGCCATCACCAGCCGCTGGCGCTTGCGTGAACGAACAAACAAACAAACAACAAACAACAAACAACAACAACAACAACGTTGACCCACTCATCTCGTGTGGATGATCGTCTCTCCCCATGCCTTGTATAACAGGATTGCTGGGCGGGACACCACCTCTCAAGCGCTCACCGTACGCTGCGCTTGCGAGCCCTCGCTTTTCATTCCCCCCCCCTCCCATTATCTACATTCTTGACATATGCTGTGTCGCGTCGTGTCGCGTGGCGTGGCGGTGGTGTAGTGGTGCTTCTACCTGCTTTCGCTGAACCCGGCGGCCAAGGCCAAGGTTCGGCCCTCTCTGTCTCAACTCCCCCCCCCCAATGCCCGACTCTTTGATGTTCGCTGACCAATTCGCGTGTGGCGGCTATGACCATTGTCTAGTTGGTGGCGGAGGTGGACTCCAAGCTGGGCGGCCACGAGCCGTCGTTCGCCAACGTCGACGATCTTCCCTTCCTCCACGCCGTCGTCAATGAGACCCTCAGGTACCCGATCCTTCCACATCATCGACACGACCAACGACACGACACGACACGACACGACACGACACGACTCACTGGTGCTGATCGACACCAGGTTGTATCCGCCCGTGCCGGTGGATTCCAAGTCGGCGGTGAATGACGACGTGCTTCCCAACGGCGCCGTGATTCGTGCCGGGGTACGCTGCTGCGCCCCACCATCGCCGCCGATTTTTTTTCTATGTGTAGCACTCACCACGACACACGACACACGACACACGACACACGACACACGACACACGACACACGACACACGACACACGACACACGACACACGACACACGACACACGACACACGACACACGACACACGACACACGACACACGACACACGACACACGACACACGACACGGCACGCGGTCGGCCTCCAGATGTCGCTCAACTACCCGATTTGGGTGATCAACCGCCTGCCGCAGTACTGGGACAGGCCCAACGAGTTCTGGCCGGAGCGCTGGCTCGACGCCCCCGACCTCGGGGCCAGCGGCCTGCGCCCGGTGCCCAAAAACAACTCACTCCCCTTCATCCCCTTCAACTTTGGCCCGCGCACCTGCCTGGGGATGAAGATGGTACACTATTTATCGATTCATTTATCCATCTATTTATTTCTTTATTTTTACTAATATAAATTACTATTATTCTTGCGCGACAGGCCTATCTGGAGGTGAAGATGATGGCGGTGCTGCTCCTGCAGAGGTTCGAGCTCGAGCTCGCTCCCAATCAGGTACGCACGCCGCCCTGCTGTGCCCGGCCTTCAATGAAAGCGCCCACCAAGAGTGTGTGCGTGTATTGATTGATCGATTGATCGTTGGTTGGACACTACCATCCGTGCAGGAGGTGCAGTACAAGTCGGCCATCACCCTCTCGGCCAAGAACGGGATCCGTATGGTGCCCCGTCTTCGCGAGCAGCCCACCACGTCCGCCTGAGTAGACATACCGTAAAAAACGAAGAGTCTTTTCGCTTTCGCTTTTCGTAGTTTTCGAGTTATCGTTTTTTCTTTTGGTTGTACTGCTGCGCTAGGCGGGCGGGACGACGAAGTTGGTGGCGTTGGAGCCAACGGTGGACTGCAGGATTTGGCCCACCACGCGCTCGTTCTTCTGCCACCGGATCCATCGCTTCTCCATCCGGAGCAGCGACAGCAGGAAACTGGCCAGCAGACACCCGAACGCCCAGCCGAAGATCACCAGCCCGTTCTCTTCCTGCACCGCGGTGTTCGCACGTGGTGGCCCCGCCGCGACCAACAACAAGTGAGTAACCTGCAGCACCACCACGGGTATCGGGAGAGAATGAAGAATGGCTACCATCTTGTTCTCCAGCGAGCCGAAGAGGATCGTGCGCGCTCCTCGCACAGCATAGTAAAACGGCAGCCCATGTCCGATCAGGTAAAACCTGACCGAAACAATCCCCAACATATCAATCAAAGGCGTTTCCACTGCTCCAATCTGAGATAAATAGTTGTGATCAATTTTGCTTATGGCCGGGAACGTACTCATTCATGAGGTACTCGCTCAGCATGGCCCCGCCTGGCGCGACGACACACGGAATGAGCTTTGGGGGGGGGGCACGGGGTGGAATGGCAAAGAGTCGTGGTGGTGGTGGTGGTGGGACGGTACCGGAGGTGAGCTGGAGGATGAGCATGAAGGTGCTGGCGAGCTGGAAGGCGGTGATGCCGAGGATGCCGGCCAGGGTGGCGTTCATGAAGATGAAGCAGATGCTCACGTAGAAGAGCCACATCCAGTAGGCCATGAAGTTGTGCTGGAACACGTCTTCGCTGGCATCGCCGGCCACCGCGGCCACGACGCAGGTGATCAGCAGCGATTGATTGATGGCGAACACCATCGCCCACAGGGCGCGCAGGACGTGGTTGTACGCCGCCACCACCATGAACTGAGCTCGCGTCGACAGCTGTGCAGACCAATCGGTTATGTGATTTGATAAAGATGATCGCGGGGGGGGGGAACGGA